ATAATGCTAGAGATGGCTTGCCGATCCTCAAAGCGAACGCAAGGCTGCATGTGACAGAGATGGCTTCGGCCCTTGAAGCCTTCTGCTAGCTGAGTGCAGGCGGAAAGGTTGATTGCCAGTTAGTCTACGGACATTGAGTCTACGGACTTGGGCTTGCCTATACTATTCAGTCTACGGATTGAAATAGAAAGTCCAAGTGAGTCTACGGACTATTCAATCTACGGATTGAGAAAGAAAGTCTACGGACTATCCCATGGACTTCTGTTATATCTACGGACATTAAACCAAGAATCTACGGATTCAAGGAAGTCGCGCTGGAACCCATTGGGAAGTTTTAATTAACTTTCGTGGATCGGAGGCTATTCCTTTTTCACGACAAGGAGATGTCGGGTTCAATTACTTGACGACATTCGTATGATTTTGTGTTTGCAGAATCGTCGGGAAAATGTAACTTAACTGGCAGGCGTGGGCTAATAAGCCCAAACTAAGCCAAGGGGCAAGTGACGTCCGCCAAGGTGCTGGAGTCTGAACCCAAAACCGACGATTCGGATGATGAATCCAAGCGTCCCACGCGTGGGCCTGCGAAGAAACAATTCAAATTCAAATATCGGCGGCGATATATGAGCATGAGCCTGAGACGCAATAGTCAATGTGTCCACAGATTAGACCTCAGAGATGTGGAACAAATGGAAAAAGGGGTTGTGGGGTCTGTTTGCACATGTGCTGACAGATGATGTGTGGTCTGGCAGCCTTGACATTGAATCTCTCAATCCTTCAGTTTGGCTCAGAGGTTCAGGAAAGTGTCATGGCGATTGCGCCTACGGTGTTAGATGTGGAGCGGGGCCTGTCTACTGGACAGGCAGACGCTGCTGCAGAAGAAAAGAATTTGGACCAACCAGAAGAGGCACTGGCCCAGAAACAAGTTGCCATGGCAGTGAAGTGGATTGGGGATGTTCCATTTGTTCAAAGTAATGAAACTGGAAAGGTGCATTGTGGGTTTGCTCAGATGACCATCGTCGGCAAGCCAGACGATAAGCAAGTTTCGTGTGACACCTGCGCTTGCACCACGCCGGGCTTAACCCCGTGGACATTCACAGCTTGTGACTGCCCATGTCACTTGCTGGCAGAACACTATAACAAGCGCCGGAAATTGGACTGACTGACCAATTGCGCGACGTTTGGAAAATGGCTTCCTTACTGCAGGGAGGGTCGAATTTGACAGCAGTCCACTGACCCTGATGCGCATTTTTTCTGATAGGGGACCTATTTTGGCTTCAGTTGCAGCCTCCGGTAGCAAATAATATTGACCGTATTCAATGAAGTACCACAACATTTGAACCAGACCTGCAGACGTCGTAGTTGCCCATGGCGCCCTTTCCAGGCCTTGTTCCAGGTTCTATGGTTTTGCAGCGCTTGAAAGGCTGCCAGCAGGACGCCTCCAAATGCAATCTATGTGCGTTGCATTGCGCGTGGAAGCAATTCAAGAAAAAATGGCTACGGGCCGCGCTTGTGGATGGCGAGGTGAAGCTGGGTTGCGAGCTCTGTGCCTCCAATGGCTTGGATGGCCCATGTGCCAAGTTTAGCCAGGATGCAAATGTGATTCTAAGGAAACACAATCTGGAGAGGCATGAAAAGTCCAATGGACACCAGGCTTCGGAAGCCGGATCTTGCCACTTGGGCCCTGCTAGCAAAGAACTGGAGGAAACTTTGGATGATATGAGGTCAGGAGGTAGCGCAAGAGCCGGTTCTGGAACCAGCGACAAAAAGGACAGACTACGGTACGCCGTGTCTGAAGGAATTCTAAAAGAGAACCGTGAGTTCTTGGCTACGGCAAAGTCAATTGCGCTCATGCGGGATGAGCGAAAGGGGAATCTCCTTGTGAGATTTCGTGCTGTGAATGAGCAACTTGAGGTCAGGTCTGGAGTCTTGTGCTTGAAACCTTGTGTAGGCACATCGGAGTCTGTGGCCCAGGCGACCCAGGCAATCTTGACTGAGTTTTGCACACCACTGCTATTGCCGCCCCGCGGTGCAGCTGTGCAACAGGGGGAGCTGGACAATGAAATCAGAAAACGAGTCCAAGAGTCTGTGTCAGTCATCGTCACAGACGCTGCGGCTCCGGAATTGCTTGCGACAGATTTGCTGAGAGGAAAGCGGCGCTTCGCCGACGAAGCTGGACAAGCAGACATGCCTCAAATTAAGTTGGTAGGCCGTGACTCAGCGCACAGCAGCACAAGGCTGCTCAAGCGGCCCTTTTACAAGAGCGAAGTCCTGCATGGCTTGATTCAGGAATGGTGCCATGGCACAGACAGCTTTGCTCAGAAGGTTTGGCATAGTCATGTCCTGACACAGTGGTGGCAAGCTGCTGTGAAAAGTCAGGAGGCAAATCCTGGAGTCAGGCCTAGCACTTCGATGTCTGCTGCGAAGCATCGGTTCGCTAGCGTTCTGACGCCCTTGTCCCGCATGTGTCAGAACATTGACGCTGTCTTCAAAGTTCTGAGCCGCGTGCATTGTCTAAGAGACGAGGCCACCTGGGCACTGAAACTGAGCCGAAACTTCTCTGCGCAAAAAGCTGTTCTCTTGCATATGGCTACCGACGCAGCAGCTATATGCAATGATTTCACACGGCGCTGCGACGAAGAAGGTGTTGATGTGGCCACCTTGAATCATGAAGTGCACCGATTGGTGATGTCCGCGCGGACTCTCTTCGTGGAAAGACAAGTGCTAACGCTTCCGACATTCACAAAGGAGTTTATGGATCGGACAGACCCCCTCATTCTCCTGCATGATGGCTTTGCAGAAGAAATAAAGCCTTCGCAGCCGGATCTTGACGAAGCGTTTCGAGTGATGCAGGACAATCCAAGTTTCGGAAATCTGTGTTGTCCATTGTTTTCTTTACATTGGTTTGGCAGTCCGAAACTGTATTTTTTTTGTTTCTGTGGGTTGTGTTGGAGGAGTGGGTGGCCCTAATGGAAGAGACGGTAGCTCACGAATTTCCTGATTGGCATCTCATTGCAGCCTTTGGCGTTTTCAATCTGAGCGAGAAGAAAGCGTCTTCCGGACATGCTGATTTAGAAAAGAACTTAGAAAGGCTTGCTCAAGCCTTTGGTGTCTGTTGTGCCACAGCCAAGAAGCAATACACGGTTTTGCTTCCGATCGCCACGGCCATACAGAAAGAAACTGGCGGAATGAACAGGGATGCGTGGAAAGAAGCTTTCCAACGCACAAGATCCCGCAAAGCCTGCAGAGGAAGATATGACTCGGACGCCCTCTTTCCACTCTTGGCGGCGTACATGGCTTGGACCTGTTCAACTTCAGGTGTTGAGCAGCTGTTCTCGAAAATCAAAGCTTCTCCCATTGAGACAGCTGATGCGTCTCAAGACACAAACAGAAGGCTATGTGTTGTCATGGGGGCTGATCATGTGCGCACAAGACAGGGTAAGTCTAAGGTTGTCAAAGAGGCTGCCAAAATCTACCTGTCCTTGACGAAATCTCAACAGTGCCGTTTGCGCAAGCGCAAACGCTTCGATGCTGGAAGAAAGGGCAAAGAGAAGCCTGCCTCACAGGCGGCGTGGAATCGACGTCGCCAAGAAGCTGTGTCTGCAGCAGTTGATGAATTGACGACGCCACCCCGCAAACCGGCAGTAGAACTGCCTCAGTCTATGGCCAAGGAGAGTGAATTTCAGAATCAAAAAGGAAGGAAACGAAAGGCCGAAGCGTTGAAGGACGGATTGTTGCTTGCCAGCGAGATTACTCCAGAGATAGAGGCCGAGGCTATCAGAATGGTGAAAGAACAAGAAAAAATGACACCAAGCGTGCAAAGACACATGCCGAATTTCAGTTGCACGCCAAGATGACAACCAAGCAAAAAACGACGGAATGGGCCTTGGCGGGTCTGCCCGAGCCTGCTTGGTTCGCTCGAGGGCTCCAGGCCCCGACGGCAATGAAGTTGAAGCTTCATGGGCAAGGCGTTCAGGCTTTCACTCAGGCAGGTGTGTCTTGTGTAATTAACTGCATACTCTCAATCGCTGAGCGAATCCCTGACAGGACCTTCGACAAGCACGCCTGATGGTGGTGAATGACTTCTGCCGAGTAGAGAGGAAAGTGAGAGTCATGGCTGCTCTTCTCGGCTCTGTCGTGGTGTCTGCGCCTGCTTTGTGCGGGCGAGGCGGAACCAGACTGGAGTTCCGGAGAGGCTTGGATATGGAGGTGGCTATTTTCCTCACTGATACATTCAAGGCCGAGGAACCAGGTTTGACGTTGATCATGAGGGAGGCTTGCCACCAAGGTTGGAAAGCTGTTCGCATGGAGGGATTGAAAGGCCGCGGAAGGAAGCCGAGTCTACTTTTAAAGGGTCGCGCAGAAACTGTGCAAGGTTTCCAGCGCACGGGGGTGAAGTGTATGACGAGCCTTGATTTCGTGCAGTGGCTCAACAGAACTTGTTTAAACAAATCTTTGAGCGCTCATGTGTCCAAAACGGACCAATGAGAGATACCTGTGTGTGCATGGGGGGTTCGCCGCGGGTAAAATTAGTCGTACAATTTGTGGAAGGTCGCTGCTGTGGCGTGGCAATATAGTAAATTTATATGCAGCAGCATGTTTGAATTTCTTATTTGTGTCTGCATGACGCAGCCGTTTCCATGTCGTCATGACAAAGACATTTCTAGATCGATGCGTTGACAAAAGGTCAATTAAACAGGATGTCGTCTCCAAGGAGACATTGCGCTCACAGCTGGAACGTGTGAACGCATTGGCGCAAAACTGGGCAGACCGCCTGGCAAAACATGAGTCCCCGCCACGGCGAATGAGGACTGCCTCAGACTGTTCGGGGTACGGATCAGACTTGATCGCGTACCGTCTGCTTGGCCTGACGAGCCGCATACATCCTGTGATGATGTCTGAGACTGACCCTGTGAAACTCGTGTTATATGAAGCTGTTGCGAAGGCGTGTGGAGTGAAGCTTCATCACGCAGTCGCCGTGTCAGATATGAGTCTGAGGAAACCAAATGACAGTCAATCTGCGGATGTTTACACGGCAGGTTACCCGTGTCCTTCTTACAGTAACCTCGGAAAAAGAGGAGGTGGTGTCATGGACAAGCGGGGCCTCTTGACTTTGAAAGGTCTCGAGTACATAGCTTCAAGACGGCCTAGAATCGTGGTCTTGGAGCAGGTTGCTGCAATTCTGAACAAGACACACGAGAAAGTTTGGGGCTTCGTTCGAAAGACTCTGACAACCTTGAACTATACATTTACTTTCAAGGGTCTGAACACGAAGCATTTCGGGTGTCCACAGTCTCGTAGCCGGCTGTATCTTCTCGCTGTTGCGAAGGAATGCTGTGAAAGTAGCTTAGACATGCCGGAGGAAACAGATCCAGTGGACCTGCATCACTTTTTGAAGAAAAATACGGTCAGAAATGAAGTTTTGAAGTTGCCCAAATATGAGAAGATTCTGGGGCCAAAGATGTGGACCCAAGGGTATGTCTTAGACATTGGCTCCAGCGAGAGGTTCCAGAGTGTGATCCGGAACGCTTCGCCTTGCCTCACGAAGACTCGGCTGAAACAGAGAGGGTATTATATTCCCAAATTGAAACGCAGGCTTTTGCTTGAAGAAGCCGCAAGGTTGCAGGGTGTGCCTCAGCAAGTTTACGAGGCCATGGCCAAAGTTGCAAAAGAAAAGAAACTGGCTGCTAACGCTTTGGAAGGAAGCTTAGGCGATGCCATGAGCATTCCTGTCTTGACTGCTGTATTATACACTGGACTGAAAGCAGCTGGCTATTCTGTGCCGACTTGGTCTTCAGCAACCAGAGCGGACGGCGCCCAAGCCGGCTTTCACATGGATGAGGTGTTTCAGGAAACCGGATGACATATGTCACTCGGCAGCATTAAGTCATCAGAATTACTATGATTTACTTAGTAAGTTAACTTAAACTAAGCAACCGTTAAACGTCGCAACGGTTAAACGTCGCGGCGCTCTCCCGGGTCTGGCCTGGGCTGGGACTGGGGAAGGACTAGGGTCAACGTCGCGAACGTCGTCAACGGACCCGGGAGAGGGGAGTGGGGACATCCCAGTCGCCTCTCCCGGGTCTAGCCTGGGCTGGGACTGGGGAAGGACTAGGGAAGAACACGCGTGCGTTGCAGTGACCAGCGGCCCCCATTCTCTTTCACCGAAGTCCGTGCTCCTCTCCCGAGTCTGGCCTGGGCTGGGAGTGGGAGAGGGGAGTGGGGACATCCCACTCCCCTCTCACCGGCCACGTCGCGCGCAACGGCTAAACGTCGCCCAACGTCAGTGGGGAAGAGGTAGGGTCAATGCTGAAACGTCGATGGGTAAGGGAGAGGGGCTGTGAACACGTCGTCACCTTCAGGTCGCGTAGAAGAACCAGGTGCGGCTGAACACGTCGTCGTGGGAAAAATGACGACGCCATTGAAATTGGCTTGAATCACTTGGCTTGACTTGGTTTGCAACAGGTCACTTATTAATGATTCGGTTCCGCAGCCGTTTCATCAGTCAAGTCAAGCCTCTTCTAAGACGTTGACAATGGCGGAACCAGAGATGGAATTGAAGAACATCGGCAGCTGGCGTTTGAACAAGACTGAGAACCAAGAACTGCAAGACAGAGTTGGCAAAGGAGAAGAGGAGCACTTGGTGAAGAGAGAGATCCAGACACGCAAGGCTAAGGCCTGTGCTGAACAAAAGCTAGCTGCCACGGCAATTGCCGACAAAGCTGTGCCCAAGGCTAAGGCCAAGGCCAAGTCTGCACCGACTCCGGCGGCTGCGACTGCCCGTGACCCAACCAACTCGGCGTATTACGGCGAGGTTGAGGCTGACATTGCATTGGTGCTCGAAGAGTTCCCAGCCATTCAGTCAGAGCCACCCCTGGCTCTCTCAGACGGTAAGAATAGCGGTGTGCAAGAGCCGTACCATCTAGAGAAAGGACAACAGGCATTAGAGCTCAACGGCGTTTACCGTGCCTCTGGCAACCTGTTTTGGGTACAGCTCTTGGCGTCTCCAACACCAGGAATTCCAATGAGCCAGACACATGTGCTGGATATACCAGAGTATTACTTTCCGAAAGGCTCGCCAGCCCACATGACTGGCCGGATGGTCGAGCTGTCAGTGGATCGAAATGCTCTAACCACGTGTCCAGAAAACCTCCAGATGTGTTCGCCAGAAGAATTAGTTCACAGCATGCTTGCGGCCTGTGCTACAATGATTCGGTCGCAACCTTAGCCCAGTTTCCACAACAATTTTTCATTCCCTTATTACTGATTTGATCATTTGACCCGAGGCAGAAGGATGACGTCGAGCAGTCTGTCTGGGAAGCTGCGCGGGCCAAATGGCGAGCCGTGCTGCTCAGTGTCCCGATGTCCTTCATTGACCATGGGCCGGACAGAAACAAGTCTATGTGGGTGGAAGCTTGGAATCGGAGGCAAGCTGTCCAGCAAGAACACGAAAGCTTGTCGCGCACTGCGATGCAGAGGGCCCTGGAGATTGATCAGCTACGTGTTCTGTGCGAGTCTCTAGGAAATGCCCGAACAAAATTACAGCCTGCCCAGCTTGCTGTGGAATTCGGCACGATGGGATTACAGTCCGTGCAAGGAGGTCGCAAAGAAGACGAGAACGACGGCAAGCTCACTCCCAATTTGATCAGCCAAGCCTTGACGGTGAAAAGAGGGATTCTTGCCTCGGCCCGCTCTGTGGAAATTCTGCTTCAGTTGGAGGCAGACTACGGAACCCGCTCCCCATTTCACTGTATGGCCCGTCTTCATGTCATGTCGACAAAGCCTTCGACCCCAGCGCTCAGAGACTGGGCCATGGAAAGTCTCTACGATGGTTTACTCAATGAGACTATGCAATTGGGCGACATTTCCAAAAGCAGTTTGGGCGGCGATAAGCATCACGTCGGTCTGATCCCTCTCTACGAACTGAAGAAGAAGGCGACCAGAGAAAACCATTTAATAGAATGCAAATTTGTATATTTTATCATTTTGCTCTTTGTGTGTCAGGTTCTGGATTATCTTCTTGACCAACACTATCCTAGGGCCGGGTTGTCCGAGGCGGACAGGACCCTCCTCAAGCAAAAGGTGATGAACCATTCCACCTACAGAGCCCACAGTGGTGCAGAAGGTGACCACAGCTGGATGTCAAAAATGGCGAAAAGCTCAATCCAGGCTTTCCACTTTCTGGAGGCAAGTCAGGCTGGCTTCACTGTCATGTTAAGTTAGTATGTTCTTCACCGTCTGACCCAGGACATTGTGTATGGCAGCAAGTACAACAATTGTCTCAAGCAAGCGTGCAAGCAGGGAGGTCTCCCGGAACAGTTGATGGAACAAGAATCCATGAAAGAAGTGTGGGGGAAGGTTCTCGGCCAATTGGCAAACGAGGAGGCTGAGCGCAAGGCTGCCTTGGAGACCCCAGAGACTGCTCGCGATGGCAGGGAGGAAGGTCCCGATGAGCTGGACGCAATCCGGAAGCCTCCAACACAACATTCGGAAGGCTCCAAAATGTATTGGAAGAGCGTGGCGAACCAGACAGTGCGAACCTACATTGCTTTGTCGGTGGAGCCACACACTCTGGACGGAGTCATCCAAAGTGTGACGCAAGCTCTGAAGGACCACGAGCCCAAGGCAGGCGAATCTTGCGGTCTTGTCTACTTGGATTTGGACAGTCTTGGAGAGTCCATGGGACCAGGGCAACAAGAACTTCTGCGGAAGAGGTATGTTCCAGACAGTACCCTTCTACGGAAGTTGGTGCATGGTGCAACCATCGCCCGGCACGGACAACGAAAAGGCGATGAAGCGACCTGCCCAGCCGAGGCTGAGGTGGTCGCTATCCATGTTGGAGACCGAAGCAGCAGAGAGGCTGAGGCCTTGTTCCGTGCAAGCACGGCCCGCAAGGATGCAAGCATCGACGCGGAGATGAAGGAAGTGATGGTTGTGTTTTCTGATTCTTCCATCCGTTCAAGAAAGAAAAAGAACCGTGGAGCTTACACACAAAGCTCCTGCCTCGGGGTGTTTTCTGCGGCGCCCTTGTCGTCAATGTTGCCCGAGAAGGCGTACACCGACTACCAAGGGCACAATACCTCGGACACATGTGCCTTTGTGACAGCTTTGCAACCTGTAGACATGTGGCACCTGCCCAGGCCTGGAATGTTTCTTGTTTCAGAGTCTTAGTTTTCAGAGTGGACATGCGCTAGGAAAGAGAAGGAACTTGTGCTGGAAGGCCGCACGGTGGAGGTTACAGAAGCTGCAGGTGAAAAGAAGGCGGCAAAGAAAGCCCTTGGCGCTGCGGATCCGGAGTCGGTATTCTCCGGGCAGATTCTGCCAGCTCAGTTCTTCAGGATTTTTTTGAAGGCTCAGAGTGTTTGCTGCGTGTGTCCAAGCCGCAATTATAACTTGAGAATCGTCACGACGCCATGTCTTCCCCATTTGCACCTTGTTGTGAAAATGAGGTGTGACCTGGCAGCGGCCCAGGGAGAACTGGCGAAAGCTTGTTTGTCCGAGCGTGTGCCCTTCTATGGATTCACGCTCTCAGAAGCGCATTCTCGCCACTTGGAGATCCTGCTGACGGACTATGTTCTGGAGCAAATGTCCACTGAAGGGTCCACTTTTTACAGATCCGAAGTGGCAAGCAAGGCAGACGATAGGAAAAGGACGGCGGAAGAGGATACTAAGCCTGTGCCCAAGAAGAAAGCCAAGGCCAAGAGCAAGAACAACAAGCCTGAAACAGACGCCGTAGGAGAGAACCAGGATGACAACGCGGCGGAGGGCGAAGAGGCAACCGGCCCACCTTCCGTGGTGAACTGATTTTAAATTTCTGTGCCAAGTTTTGATTTATGGCACTGATGGTCCCCTTTGCGAAAAGCAAGACGAGAAACCTCTGTAGCGAGAAGGCTTTCAAAAGGGAACCCGTCGTCGTCGTCGTTGCGGTCCAAGTCGTCATTGATATAACAGACACTCCAATGCAACAATTGTCACTGAACAGGTTCGTCCCTTCTGTTTGAGGCTCAAGCAGACAGTTGAACCAAGCTC